ACAGACACACACACAGACACACACACAGAGACAGAGACACGCACACACACAGAGACACAAACGCACAGAGACAGACACGTACAGACACACTGACACTCTCTCTCACACATGCACAGACACACACTCACACAGAGAGACACACACAGAGACACACACACATACACACACACACACACATATACACACATACACACACACAGACACACTCACACAGATACACACACACATACACACAGATACACACACACTCACACAGATACACACACACACACATACATATATTTATGTGTGTGTTGTTGTGCAGACGGCTCCATCAGGTGGAGGAGCTTCAGTCCGCTCCGTCTCTTGTCTCTCGGCGGCATCGTGTTCTCCGTCTGCGCTCTGTCCTTCGGCCCCTTCATCGTCATGGTGAGTGGAGTCTTCCTCTCGTCACAATAACTCGAATAGAACTCAATGTATAATCTGCAGTGTGTAGCTGGGCACAGGTTGAGTGCTGAACGGTCTTTAAGGAAAATATTCTTTGATTTAAATAAGACCTCACCTGAAGCTGCCGGGATGTGTGTGAGACCTGACGGTTGGCATCTTTATTTCAGGGTCAGCTCCCTCAGGTCCTGTCCCGTCTCTTCCCCTTTAAGCGGGGCCTCTGTCACGCCTACTGGGCCCCCAACTTCTGGGCCCTCTACAACATGCTGGACAAAAGCCTGGCGGTGCTCGGTGAGACTCCAGAACGTCCTATCTGATCAGTTAACTGTCATACACACCTGCATTTTACTTCTACCTTCCAATCTGATTTTGGTGATAAGTCAAGGAAAGTTATGTTAAAGTATTATTTAGAGTATATAAGAGCCACTTGCGCCACTTGATTGCCTGTAACAGAAACGTCTACCTGTTCAGGTGTTCGTCTGAAGCTGCTGGAGGAGGCGGAGCTTCCTCGAGCCTCCATGACAGGCGGTTTGGTTCAGGAGTTTCAGCACTCGGTCCTCCCGTCCGTCACTCCCTCCGTCACACTCGTCTGCACTCTGCTCTCCATCCTGGTGAGGCGCAACAAACTGACCGATAGTGTTTCGCTCTTTTCACTCTTATGAAGTGAAATACTGCAACACCTGCAGGCTGAGGTGGAGGAAACGCAGTAGAGATCAGTGAACGCAGTAGAGATCAGTGAAGGCAGTAGAGATCAGTGAACGCAGTAGAGATCAGTGAACGCAGTAGAGATCAGTGAACGCAGTAGAGATCAGTGAACGCAGTAGAGATCAGTGGAGGAACGCAGTAGAGATCAGTGGAGGAACCCACTAGAGAATGGTAAATAAAGGCAGTGAAGTGAGGTAAAGACACAGAGTTCGGCAGGGGACCAGTAGAGTTCAGCAGGGGACCAGTAGAGTTCAGTCTAACTGTCCTTCCTTTCTGCAGCCGGCGGTGGCCTCCATCTGGTGGCGTCCTCGCGGTGCTCGGGGTTTCCTGCGCTGCCTGCTGCTCTGCGCTCTGGGTTCCTTCATGTTCGGCTGGCACGTCCACGAGAAGGCCGTCCTCCTCGCCATCCTGCCTCTCAGGTGAGCCGCTCCCACATGTACCTGATGTTTCACACGGCGGTGGAATGTAAAGAAACACGTTAACTCAAGTATTGCATTCCCGTGTCCTGCTACCTTCTACTTCTACTCTTCCACGTCTCTTCTTACTGCTCCTCGTGTCTCTGTTTGTTGCTTCCTGCAGCATCCTGGCGGTCGAGAGCAGAGAGGATGCTGGGATCTACCTGGTTCTGACCACCACAGGTCATTACTCTCTGTTCCCGCTGCTCTTCAGCCCCGCAGGTAAACACCACAGCATCTCGTTGTGATGCCTTCTCTCGCTATTTTCAATCATTTTACAAACCAAACAATCAGCAGATGAATCAATAATAACAATAATCATGAGTTAATAGTTCAGAATGAGCTCCAGCTGAACAAACTACAGTAAAATCCTGCTTTTACATGAATGTGTGAGTCATAATACCCTCATGATAGAATATATAATAGTACAACAGACACAGTCTGAATACCTCAAACATTTTACTGAATATACCGACATACTTTACTGAAGCATCATTTTACTCTAACAGAGTATTTTCACAGTGTGGTATTAGTACTTTTACTGTCGTGAAATATCTGAATACTTCCTCCTCTCTGTGGTTCAGAGCTGCCCATCAAAGTGTTTCTGATGCTGATGTTCACCATCTACTCTTTCACTGCTCTGAGGAAACTTCACAGGTAAATAAAGTACACATACAGTGTGTGTGTATATATATATATATATATATATATACACACATATATAATACTTAAAGAATAACGTTTAATCTACAAAATTGTATTTGACTCCATTACCCAGAGTGCTCAGTAATCAGATCACTCTCCTCTCAGCGCTCGTTTGCTCCGCCCCCTCGAGTCTGTCTACCTGATGGGACTGGTTGCCGTGGCGATCGCCTGCGAGGTGGTCTTCCCCTTGTCGCCGTGGCAACAGAAGCTGCCCTTCCTCCCCCTGCTGGCGACCTCGGTGTACTGCTCGGCCGGCGTCTGTCACTGCTTCCTGCGTCTCTACGTCAGCCTGCTGAGGCAGGAGGAGAAGCACAAGCGGCTGTGAGAAGGGCGCAGGTTAGATTCCCCCAAAACAACAACACACACCTGCACACGTGCCCCTGAGCAAGGCACCCAGACACTGATCAGTCAGGAGGAAGTGACTGTCGTGGGTCCAATAACTGCTGATCCGTGTTTCTGCCTCAGTTTTAGTTGTTTTTCTTCTTCTTCTTCTGGATTATCGAGCAAACACCGACCACATGTCAACAACAACAACAACAACATCATCATCCAGAGTAAACATGTCAAACCGATCGTGTTGATTAGATGATCCAAACTGAACCCTGCTGTGTGTTGACTGCATCACGATAAACACACCGGAGTTTAGTGAAGCTGGGATCTATAAATCTATGAGGTTAATCTGGAGAACGAATGATGAAGGTTAATAAAATAAATAGAATAAAGGATGAACTCACCAGCAGTCAGAGCTGACGGGAGATATTCAGCTGTGTGTCACATGTGCACCTTCTTAAAATAACATTTTGGCTTTTCTGTATATTTCCTGCGGACGTTAGCTTCCATACAGGAAGTAACTGCACGATCAGAGTCACAATAACATCATACTTTATATACTTAGAGCTCAAGTGTTGACTCTACGAGTTATACTAGTGAGCAGTAATCACGTATTGCATTTACAGCTCATTTCACATTCAAAGCTTCACTTGAAGACCTCGATAGAAGCTTCCAGACCTTCTGTCGGCCGTCCAGCCTTAATGCAAACCCCAATGCATGCTGGGATAGATTCCAGCCTCCCGCGACACTTTATGGGCGGTACCAGTCAGCTGGAAGTGTTTTATTTATCTAAAACACTTTTAAACTCTTGTGAAAAGACAGCGATCTCAAACAGGAGTCCCAGAATGCAGCGCGTGTTCTTCCTGCTTACTTTTACATCTCGGTCGGTTTAAACTGGTCCCAGACTCTCTGAGACGTCCAGGTGAATGAAACCAGCTGACCAGTGATGACGAGCTACTTCCTGGTTTTATTAAATACGTAGTCCAAAAACAGAACTGAAAGACGCTTATGTTTGTTTTTCTATATTTTCAAATAAAAAAGATGAATTTATGCTATTTGTGTCATGTTTATTGTTAAATCTTCATCGCTTCACCTTCCAAACAAAACTGAGAAATCATTTTAATAATTCTCACCAATACAAAGTGATTCCCAGAGCGCGTGGTTAGTCGTCAGTTTATTAAATAAAATGACTCATTTTGTTTAAAAACTTTATTGATAAGGCAACACACAACATGATCGGTTGAAAGCAACTTACAGAGTTTTACACACTTTGACTGTAGAAATCTCTCTACTGCACAATAACAGCTGTTAGCGCCGATGCTAACCTGCAGAACTACCAGTTAGCAGCTTAATGGGCAGAATGGCCTCCGCTGGTCCTCAACTCTAAACCACCAGATCTGAGTCTTCAGTTTCATCTTCATCATCATTCTCCTCCTCTTGATCTCGTCTCACTCGTCATCGTATAAAAATAAAAATCATTCAGCGGATCCCTTTTTCACGTCAAAATAAGAGACCAGTCGCACTAAACTAACTAATGCTGTGAAATAACAATCGTTATGTTCGTCCATTCAAACATTGAAGCAGTTTAAAACGTTTTCAGAGACCTGACTCCAGTTTTTACACAAAAGTCTGCATTTAAAACCTGAAGTAAAAGTAATTGTTACAATCTAAATGTACTTAAAGTACTTCTGTCCTGTGAGAACCTCGTATCTCTAAGAAGAACAAAGTGATTTCAGCTTTGTGACGATGCGTTTTCCAGCTGATCCGAGGGGCTTTTTAAAGAGTTTATGTAGCTGAAGAAGAACGAGCATTTTATCATCACTCCATCCTTCAGTTCATCACAAACATTCAACATCACATCTGGAGATACGAGGCTTTCACCGGACATGAATGAGATGAAAACCTGTCATCTGAAAGGAAACTAAAGTGCTGCAACCAACGATTAGTTTAGAGTTATCTCTTTATCTCTTGATTTAATCAATTAGATGTTTGGTCTATAAAATGTCAACGCCGTCCTGAAATGTCTTGATTTGTCCACAAAGATATTCAGTTTACTGTCACAGAGGAATAAAAACATATTCATATTTAACAAGCTGAATGTTTTTCCTTTGAAAAATACTCAAACCGATGAATCCGTTCTCTAAAGAGTTGACAATCAGTTAAATGTAGTGCTGTAAACATGTTACCAATCTTATTTGTTCATTTATTTGTCTTGTTTCAGATCTCGTCAAAACAAGTTGACCTCTCTTTATTTAGATTTTAATCACGTTTGGCTCGGTTTGGCCCGGTTTAGCCTTGCTGGCTCTCTGGACTGGCCTGTAATAGAAGGTAGACTTGCTGTCCTTTTTGCAGTAGTAGTAGTTCATGGAAGTGAAGCTCCACTCTGAGAAAGCTCTTCAAGCTGTGAGTCGACATGTTTTCTGGTTGCGTGTCCTGAAGGAATAAACCTCTGTCTGTAAATCTGCTCCATCACGGCTCAGCACGCTGAACCTTTTAACGGCATTAAGAGGATCAGCAGCTTCTGAGAAAAAGACGAGACTCCCAGCATGCTCTGCTCTCAGGAGACACAAACCGGCCTCTCATCGATGCTCAACACAACGCGGCAAAATATCGGGAAAATCAGATGTCGATTGACTAAACGGATGTTTAAAGCAAAGAACTAAACTCTTTATGAATGTAAAATAAGGTGTTTTTGGACCAGAGGAACTCTGTCATACTTCTGAGTCCTCTGTTCTAAGAACATCCATTTTTAATGTGTCCGCAAGAACAATTGTAGTTCTCAGAAAGTGTTTTTTTTAAGCTCCTCTCTCAGAGTAGAGATCAAGATCAAAACCAGCGCCGGCAGCCACCATTTATAAAAACAACCTGTACACAAACCTTTTCTTAATGAGATGCAGTCTTACATTGGCAACGCTTTGTATGAAATCAGGTTGTATCTGATCAAAGAAGAAGTAAAGAAAGCATTCAAGGACAACTTTCCTTCCTTTGTGTTGTGGAAACACTTTGGTGCTAAAGAGGTATCGATGCTCGACACGCGGCCCTGGACATCACTTTGGTATCTTTGGAAACTGGAATCATCACTATTGTTAAAAATCTGAAGGACAGATTCGTGGCGGTGGATCTTTTTTTTGAAGGATCGAGGTGGCTGCTGGAAAACAGAATCATCAAAGTCTTCTTCAAAAGAATATCTTCGTCCAAAATGAATTTGGTTTTCAACGAGTAGCCGGAACAGCCAATCGCAGTATATCGCAAAGTTTAACTTTTTTCAGCGTCCGCTGTTTTCCCGCCACCTCACTCTGACCACGAAGCATCGGGGAGTGAACAAGTCTTTTCTCTTATTTTGAAGGGGAGTGAGGGGTAAGTTGTTTTTTTAACTTCTTTGGATGGGGGTGGATTTGGAGGATTTCTGCTCCAGTCACCTCACCCCGTCCGGCCCTCCACGATGATGACTAACACCGGCGTCAGGTCCATCAGGTTCTTCAGCATGTCCATGATGTCCTCATGGTCTCTGGCTCCCTCGATGAACTCCTCCAGGGTCAGCTCACCTGAGTGGTGAGATCAAGAGATGGTTACAGACGGATTATAATGGAGACTAAACGGATAATCCTCTCCAGTACCAGTACCTCATACATTAAATCATACACTAAAACAAGATGGTTAAAAACATGTAAAACTGTTGATTTCCAGATTTAAGTTTACATTTGATAACCTGTAGACTAGTTTATTGATTTTGGCAACTATTTTAGATTTCGTCTTAAGTCTTTAGATGAAAATGTTTATTAGTTTTAGTCACATTTTAGTAATTTTTATCCTTCACCCAAACATTTTAGTTTCAATCAACTTTTTGTCAAAATGTTTTCTCCGTTAATTTTGTTAATTTTTTTTATTTTAGTCAAATGTCCCTTCTCATCACATCGGATTGAATATTTCAGTCAATCTAAGTGTAGCCATAGCAATACTTTGTCATATTATTCAATTTTATTTCACATAATATTTTATCTTATTATCTGATTAAAAAATGAAAGCTTTTGTGATTTGAGAACGCAGCTTTGTAGGGACGGGCATTTTTAGGCAAAGTCAAACTTTAACAACCAAAATTGTTTGAACAAAGTAAAGACTAGTTTAAAAAAACATGTTAAGCTACATTTTAACATTTGTCTTTTTTCGTCAACAATATGCATGTTTATGTATCGTTAAGATTAGTGTTTAGTGACGTCTTAGTCGTGGAAAAACGGTTAGTTGATGAACATATGTTGTCGTAGTTTTTAACGAAATGAACACAGTTGTAGACAAGTTGATTTCAGATCGAGTTTCCTTGAGATTGTTCTCGATCGCAGCTTTTATTGGCGACAAGGATTTCGAGGATCTCCAGATCTAAGTTTTTAAAAGCCCTTGATGTCTGGATTTATTGTATCTTTTAAGGGTTTAGTGACGGTTTAATAACTCTAAACGAAGAGGTGTCTCTTTGCACATCATCCATCAGGGCTTTTATAACATTTCTCTGTAGTTTTCCCTGAGCAGTAAATCACAGTATCGTCTGCATACAGTCGGATTCTGCTTCGTTTCTCATTTTAATCCCAAACTGAAGGATGGGTTTTTTTCATTTCAGTGCAATATTTAAAACTGTACACAACAAACTAACAAGCTTTAATATTCTTAGAACCTTACCACTAGATATGTAAAGACTGTAAAGTCAGAGAAAAGGTTGTGCTTGTTGTTTCAACTCTTCATTGTCATACTTGATTACATTTTCATCAGCTGTGTTTCCAGCAACTGTTACTGGCAGTAATAGTCGTAGCGGAAACATCCGCCTCATTGGTAGTAGTGATAATATCTATTAGCAACTTGTTCTTTACCTTCTCCCTTCACATCGATCTTTTCAAATATGACCGAAACGATGTCCTCTGGGTCGGTTTCTCTGTTCCGTGTAATGTCCTGGATGGCCTGCAGGGGGAGACAAGGGCAGTGTTTTTACTTCCTGTAAAGATTTAAAACACTTATTTCTAATCATTTAGTTAACTGCAAGACAAAATGCATTTTATATGAGTCAAAGATTCTGCGAATAATCTGTGATCAAACGTTGGGAATTTAAGAATCATTTACCCAGAATTAGAAGTGGAAACGAAAACAGAAAATGGCCTAGAGTTCATTTTCCTTATCTCGTACACATTTTTAACATTTATGTTGTTTCTACTCTCCACTTCAAGATTTTAAATGTCACTTTTCAAGCTGCTTTTTTTCTTCTTTTTTTTCTTAACATTTGATTATGGCCGGATTATCGCGTGCAACCAAATCATAAAAGTAAATTGACAGTTTCTTTTTAATTCTGGGTCAAATGAAGCGGAGCTGCAGAGGGTTAAAAGCTCCACAGTGAGGCTGGACTCTCTGAAATCCTTCAGACTGGTTTGACGTCCAGACCGACTGAGTCGGGAGTCCTTCGCTTCCTGTCAGCTGATAGATTGAGTCCATTCAGCAGATTAACACTCCTCTAATTTCAGAGCTAATCCAACCCAGTTTTCTGTCTGTGTGAGCGGAGCAGCAGCTTCAGCTCTGATGATTAACAGTTTCTAGGACATTTTGCATTAAGTGTGTCAAGTATGTTCTTTGCAATACGTTTTATTTACTCTCCTAAATTCCCTTTAAAGTTATAAAATGCATTTTGCATCGTTCCATCCAGAAACCTTCTGCATCTGTTTTTATACTTGTCCTCTAAATACTCACACTAGCTAACCTAAAGATCAGCCTGAGCAGCATCATTTTCATTGTTAGCATGCTGAAGTTAGCATTTAGCTCAATGCTAGTACAGCCTCAGCTGCAGGCTCCATTCAGGACTTCTGTCTTCAGTGGAGTTAGTTAAGTTGGAGTTATATTATTTTTATTTTTATTTTTTAGTCAGACCCTCGTTTTTTTTAGCCTATATTTGTTTACATTTAGTCAAATTAGCGGCAAGTATCCCAAATGCGTTTTTATGGACGTTTATTCAGATTTTGGTTGTTTTGTGTCGAGGGTCACCGACAGTTGAGGTCTCACTGTTTTGTGATTACCGAGAAGATGGTCTCCAGCTCCTCCTTGTCGATCTTTCCGTTGCCGTCCTGGTCGAACAGTTTGAAGTACCACTTGAGTTTCTGGTTGATTTCTCCTTTCAGCATCAGACTGACGGCTGCGATGTATTCCACGAAGTCGATGTAACCGTCCTGCAGGCAGAAAAGAGGGATCAGTTCCTGTGAAGACGTCTTTGTTTTTAATCTAGCTGCCTCATCGGCTCTCTAAAACTAAAGCTGGGTATCAAATAGAAAGTATCCAAGGTTCACTTCATAAATCATGTTTTTTTTACTAATTCCTTATTTAAATTTTTACCAGTTTTAGACTTTAAATTGTTAAGACAAAGTTGTTGGATGAAAAAAAAGTAAAATATATGTTTATCTTACAGGTACATAGTACTTCTATTATAAGAGAGTATTTATCCAGTGTGGTATTAGTACTTTTACTGATTACTTTTAATAGTAGTTTAAAATCCTAGAACTCATCGACCGTCAGACCAAACTCTCTGAGGATTGAACCTCATTTAAAATAAATCATTTTATCGGAGCTCTGTGATCCGACGTCTTTCCTTCAGAACAGTCGACCTCATCCTCCCTGAACTTCACCGCCACACACTCTGAATCCAATTAGCTCGCCACACACACACACACACACACACACACACACACACACATCAGGGATCAATAGCTCTGCATGCACATGCTGTGAGCCAATTAGACAGAGAGCCAATGGAAGTTCTGCTTCGGCCGTCTTTGTCCTAAATTCATACAGCAGCAGACAAAGCGGCAAAACCAAGACAATAAAGAGACAATCCATGAGATAAACACAAACTGAGAAATAAAAATGAATAAATAAAATTAAATAAGTTTATAAAATCACCAAATAAAACAGAAAAGCGACGACGTCACATGAAAGCCAGTCTGTAAAAATGTGTTTTAAGAAGTGATTTAAAAGAGATTACTGACTGAATATTTAATATATATATAACTACAATAATATGATATTAATGGGGTTTTGCGGCGTTATTCAGGTAAACATGACGACGTGAAAACTGGAAACAGATGATCAAAAGTATTCTCGACTGGTCTTCATATCCCCAAAGTGAGATCTCATATTTAACATTAATATTCATGAATGACAGTTTTATCAATACTTGCCGGCTTGTATATATTATTTTTTATTTCAGGTAAAATATAAGCAATGAATTATTTGGTCATTTAATGTTTTGTTCAGCCGACATGGACGTACAAGACACCAAATATGTATTTTTCGTTAATTATATTTGTCAAGAAAGAACAGAACGTCTCACAGGAAAACATTGTCTTCTCCTACAAATACAATCCTAAAACACAACTCAACCATGTTTAAATCATCATCACACAGTTCTGATTCTGATTTAAAATGTCGGACTCTGTAGTTTCCACCAAACTGTTCCTGTAGACTTCTCTTCAGTCCTACAGTTACAGAGGAAGTTTTAAGTTTTGATATCCTGTTTATAGACTAACTGTCCACTTAATGATTGTTTGTTTGGTATCTGTCTGTTTTGTCTGCGTCTTTAACCGTTTTGTTTTTGTCTATTTGTCCGATTTTTTTGCATTTTAGGACCCCTTCAAAAATATGATAACCCACCTCAGAGAGCTTATCCTTAATAAATAATAGTAAACAACATATTTGCATACGTTGCCTGAGCTTCAGTAGAAAGTTCACAGGTTAGTTTACTTAGTAATGTTGGTTTGAGACACTAAAGCGACTCACTCTGCTGTCTCAAAACAACATCAACACATTAACTGATAAGTTTATCTTAAAACAATAATCATCCTTCGTAATGCACTTTCATTGTTAGTGAAAATAATCCACAGTTTATCTAAAGTTAAAAATGAGGCTTCAGCATTACAAATGAATCAAATCAAGTGTATATCCTTCAAAATAAGAGTCTTTAGTATAACATTCCCTCGACAAGTGTTCTGTCATAAAGTTACTTTACAGAGGGTTACGTAGAATTTTAGTGTTTTTTGTGACACAGCCATTATGGAAAGCACAACAACCAATGTTATCATTTCCTAGCCTCTTTACACCAGCCTTCACTATCCAAATCAAAAGCATAGCTCCAACCCTAACCCTTTATTCTAACCTCAGCTTTATTCTAACTTGAAACTTAAAAACCAAGTCTGAACCCTCAAACTGATTTTTGTGTCAAAGCGGGGACCACCAACATATCCTCATTTTACTGAAATTGTCCTAAATTTCAATTATTTTCAAATCTGTGTTAGAACCAAATCTACACCGTTGTGTGTGTGTGTGTATATATATATATATATATATGTATGTGTATATGTATGTATATATATGTATGTGTATATGTATGTATGTGTATGTGTGTGTGTATGTATGTGTATATGTATGTGTGTGTATATGTGTGTATATGTATGTGTGTGTATATGTATGTGTGTGTATATGTGTGTATATGTATGTATGTATGTATGTGTATATGTATGTATGTGTATATGTATGTGTATATGTATGTATACAATATTTCTGCAACTTTCAATGTCTGTTTTTCGTTCTTTGACATGCTTGTAATGTAGTGATGTAATTGAGTCACACAGTAACATGTGTCTACTAAAACTACTCCGCTCTGTAAGTAACACACAGTAAGTGAGTATATCTCACCCTAAACTTTGCATTAAATACTTAAAGGATATTTAAGATAATTCTCCACATTACAAACCCGCCTGGTTACGTTTTGGGAAAGATTGCAGTTGAGTTTGAACACTAAAAATGCCATTAAATGAATAATGTTAAAGAGACAGTAGAGATGTTTAGAAGTGTGTTTGTATGGGTTTCACTACAGTAGATGGAGTAATGTTCTGCCGTGGACACATTACAAACTCTTAAAATAATCTATATCAGTCATATTTATAATGTTTTCACCTGTTATCTCTGCTCTCATCTAACACACCAGACTCCATTCACAGAAACATAACTTTACTGGTTTTACTGCTGCCTCCATCGGTGAGTTATTTTGGCAGATCAGAACTAACCCTTTAAAACTTTAAAACCCTTTGCTGTAGGTAATACTGTACACTGAACTATCCCATTAACCCGGCTTCCTCTGTCAAACGCTTCACTCACGGTATTAAACCCGAAGTCACCGAGGCTAATTAACTACACGCGTACATATGTTTAATTCTCAGTACGACTCCTAAAATATAACATTTATTGTTTATTAACTTAATTAACTTTAGTGACATTAACACAACAGCAAGTCATTTAATTTGACAGACTGAAATGTTTGAAGGCTGATCCATAGAAAAATAAAATATTTATAAATATATAGTATATACTATATTTTTATTTCATAGAAGATAAAGCTAAAAACTTAACAGAATGTTTAAAAAAGCAATATTTCTAACTTTATTTTAGCAACTTCAATATGCTACATTTATTTATATATATGTGTGTGTGTGTGTGTGTGTGTGTGTGTGTGTGTGTGTGTGTGTGTGTGTGTGTGTGTGTGTGTGTGTGTGTGTGAGAGAGAGAGAGAGAGAGAGAGAGACTATATAAATATTCCTCAAATCAAAATAGCCCCTCACTATTTACGCCAATATTAAAGTACTACTGACTCCATGTAGTTCCAGCAGTAAAAGAACACAAATATTGTCGTACTGATACTTTAACTGCATGAAGCTGATGGGTGTCATGGCAACAGTGAGGCCTAGACTGGTTCTGGTCCAGTTGAACCAGTTGGACCAGCAGCAGCAAAGACTTCCCCAAAAATAGAGAATAATAAAACAGGAAATGCGGTTTAATTCAGAAGCTTAGATTTGAAAGAACGCACCCCGTCCATGTCGAAGGTGAGGAAGACCTGGTCCACGTAGCTGTTGGCGTTCTCCGTCATGCCCTTCAGACCCAGGATGGCCTTCAGCTCGAACAGCGTGATGAGGCCCGACGGAGACTCCCGCATGAACTTGTTGTACCAGTGGTGCATATCCTCCGCCAGGATGTCGTCCAGGTTCGAGCCGTGGTTCCCCATTTGTCTGGTCCGACGGGTGCACCGAGAAAACCCCAAAAAAAGAGAAGGAAAGAATGAGGGACTCTCACTCTGAAGGAGAGGGTTTGGGACAGAGAGAGAGAACCAGACAATGACCTCCGACAAGAAACGCAGGCCTCCTTTGATCCACAGTGGACGGATGTTTAAAGAACATGAATAAGAGCTTGATTAAGGGGTCTGAAGAAACACAACAAAAAGAGTCAAAAAAAGGTTAGAAATCCACGGGTTCCGTGGCAGGAAGGTGGAGCCGGCCGACATCCAGTGACTCTGCAGGTAGAGAGCAAACCTCAGGACTCTAACCCTCTTAGGTCCTGCAGGAAATAAATCAAGGATGCACCTAAAATAACTCCCTAATGAGATCAGGCCACCCAGCACGCGAAAAGTTCTGCTGCCAGAGGCCAAGGCCGAGCCAAGAAGCTTTACCTGGTGAGGTTCAGCCGAGGAAGGAGGGCTGTCCCTGGAAGGAGGCTGGTTATACAAGAGGTTCAACTGGGTTTCCTGGTTCAGACGGAGAGGTTCCCTGCTGTGAAGCCGAGGAGGGGACAGACGGGTCCAGGTCATGTGTGGACACTTCAACAGGCAGGATGATGGGTTTCAATAGAAACTGAAGCATCAAACAGTGGTGGTGCAAGTACTGTGCTCAAGTACAATAGCGTGGTGATACTTTTTATTGTGAGAAATCCTAGAAAAAGACATCATTATTTTGAAAACCTTGGAGCTCTTCATCTGAAGATGAGCTGAAAGCTACAAAGACAAAACCAATATAAAGACTGCTTCTTGCTGTATCTCCAACATTGGTGTATAATGGGCTCAGAGCTGCTGGTAGTGATCCAGTTAAACTATTTAAAGCCTTAATGACAACTTCATAGAAACACTGGCATTCTGACCTTTTGTCTGCTTAGTTTAAACATCTATATCATTTAGATTTTTTATAACAATTCCATCTTGTTACATGAAATGAGAATGTTAAAAAGACAAGAATTAGATGCGCGAAAATAAATAAGTAGTTAACAAGGACAAGGTCTCGATATAGCAACCACAAAGAGATACACAACGACCACAAAGAGATACACAACGACCAC